TTCATGACATGTTCATAGCGGGAGTCAGACCAGTGTTTGGGGCCCTCTTCATCTGGGTAGGAACTACGAGAGTAACTGTGATGTAAGGATATGGCACACAGCGAGCCCCCAGTCATAGACAACTTCACAGACGATAAGGCACACAGCAGATCTGAAGGCCTCCAAGTGGAGCACGGGGGAGGAAGTGTGCAGGGTCCTGGCCACCAGCCCAGCGTGTGTGAGGGTCCAGAGGCATAGACATGGCAGGCAAGCTGCGGCCCAAGGAAAGCTCTGCATGGCCGGGGGCACCCCAGGGCCATCAAGGTGCCTCTGGGCACAAAAGGAGTAAGAGAGCCCCGGCAGGTCACCAGATGCAATCCCACAGGCTAGTGCGTGGGGGTGGGCATCTGTGATTCCAGCACTCAGGAGACTGAGGCAGGAGGATGGCAAGTTTCAGGGCAGCCTGGGGCGAAGTTAGAGGAGAGTATGCCACAACACTCTGAGGCAGAAACACAACAGGTGGCCACCAGACGCAAAGGAATTCTGCCGGGAGGTGTGTCAGGCTAGTGCCCAAGGCTGGACAATGGAGTGAAGGACAATGGGACGAAGGTCGGCTAGAGAATCAGGATCTGCCAGCAAAGCCCAGGGTGGGGACAGAGCATGCTGGCTTCCCACTCCAGTGAAGATGGGAGACTCACCTGGGCTCCTCCGCTGGCCGCCACTCCACAGAGTGGTATAAACCCTTCACAGCCACCAGCCACTCTCGGAGTATGGCTGAAGTGTTGTCCGTGTTGTGATCCGTGGCCACCCTGTGAGCACAAGTGGATGATGGGTCAGAGCAGTCGGGGAATCAAAAGGCAAGACGGAACAACCAGATGGCGTGGGGGCTCTCCAGGCTGGCTCAGTCCCCACCACCTGCAATGCCCTGGATAAAGCACCCTCCCGCTCTGTGCCTACTGCCCATCAGAAACACGGCAGTGAGGATGACGCCCAGCTCACTGCTGCACAGCTGAACAAGGCCTGCTAATGTGGAAAGCACATTGTGGTGCCACAAAGAAAAACTATGTAAAAGGACACTGAGTGGGACGTCAGAAGCTGCCATGTCCCCTTGTGTGAAGGGTCCACTTCTTCCCACTGCCTTCAGGTCCCTTCCTCTACTCTTAAGTCACATAGGGGTCTGACTGGGTCTGGAAACCTGTTAAGTTCATTGACTTTGTTAGAGTGGAACGCCGGCCCGCGCCTGGGGCGCAAGACAGTGAGCTGGAAGGGTCTGGAAGCACCAGCCTGGCCCATTCTGAGAAGCCAGGGGTCCTAGAATCGCAGCTGTGAGGGCTGGCAGCAACCCAGAACCTGGCGGGAGCAGGCAGCAGCTCGGGGTCCCAAAGTGCAATCGGGACGAAAGCCGGTACTTCGGTTACAAAGCCGAACTCCCCAGGTGCATAACCCGGGTCCCTAGGTAGACAACCGAGTCCTAAACCGAGGCTCAACCGAGTCTCCGCAGTGCAGAGCCGAGTCCGCCAAGACATAACCGCATCCCTCGGGTACAAAATCGAGTCCCCGGATAAACAGCCGAATCCCCCGAGGTGCATAGCCGAGGCCCTGCGCACAGCGCCCGGGCCGGCCGCTCACCATAACGCCGTGCGCTCCCGTGGGTGGCGCAGCCGCTCCAGGGCGCCCAGCGTGGCCGGCAGCGCGGGCGCCGCGTTCCGCGCCAGCAGCGCGATGAGCACGCGCGGCGCCTGCAGGGGGGACTCGGGGCTCCAGCGCTCCTCGGGGAAGTAGCCGTCGATGCCCCGCGGGCCACCCGGCGGCAGCGGCAGCGGCAGCAGCAGGAGCAGCGGCAGGAACCGCAGCCCGCGCAACCCGCCGGGGAACGCCGCCATCGCGCCACGCGTCGCCTTTAAGCCGCTTTTCTGACGGCGGACCAGAGCCGCTCCTTAAAGGAGCCGGGGGGAGGGGCCATCAGGTCCCTCCCTTGACTTTCTCCTTAAAGGGAGGGGGCCCTCTGGCTGTGCTGTGAGTCGTCGGGGAGCGCCTGTGACAAGGCTGCGCCTTTAAAAGTTAACGCTGCTTCCCCCCCCCCCCCCCCCCCCCCCCCCGACAGTCCCGGCTCCCTTTCATGACGTCACCCGCAGGATGGCTCCGGAGCCCCGCCCTCAGCTCACACCTTAAAGGCGCAGAGGCGCTGTGTGACCGCACCCTGGTAGTGCAGCCCATTTCTTGAGCCCTCTTAAGTTGACTGTTCCTCTGTACTGAGGCTCCTAATTAGAATCATGTCAACCTTAGTTTCCTCGGTTACGACATGGTTATTTTCGTTTGTTTGTTGCTTCTGAATTACATTTTAAGGGACCAGCGAAATGGCTGAGTGGGTATGAGAGCTTTTTGCCACGCATGCAGTCCTGAGTTCTGGAAGGAGCCAACCATCCCAAAAACTGTTGTCCTCTGGCCTCCGTAAGAGTGCCTCTCACCCTGTTTTACTTATTTCTTTCATTTTCTGTGTACTAGTGTTTTGCCCACGTATATGTCTGTATACCACGGGTATGCATCAGATCGGCTAGAACTGGAGTTACAGGCGGTTGTGAGCCACCATGTGGCTCTGGGAATCGAACTCAGACCCTCTGGAAGAGCAACAAGTGGTCTTAACTGATGAGTCTTATCTCCAGGTCTCTAAATGTATTTTTGTGTGTCGGGAAGTGGATGTGGAAGTGAGTGTGTGTGTGTGGGGGGGGGGGGGGTCTTTTCATTCTTTTTCCCTGTGTACAGGAGACAGGGGACAAAGCCAAGGGCTTAGCACCCGGACTTTACCAGCTGAGCCATCCCACCAGCCCATGTCTTCTGGTTTGTGAAACAGGGTGGAACTCAGAGTATAGCCCACGCTTTCTATAAATTTACAGTGTTACTATAAAGTCTGTGCTAGCCTCCTGTGTTTTGGGGTGACCGCTACTCTGGTTCCTAGCCTCCCCGAGGAGTTGAAGACCCTGGGATTAACCAGCTGCCTCCAAACCCTGCCCCCCACCCCCCCATGGCCTCTGTTCAAATGATTCACTTTAGAGACTTCATAGGGCAAGAAGCCGGAGCCAGAACCAAAGGCTCCTGTTGCTGAGTGGGTTCTCTGGAAACCCTTACAGTTTTTCTTTTTGTTGTTTTGTTTTGTTTTTCAAGACAGGGTTTCTCAATATAGCCTTGACCTGGACCCACTATGGAGACCAGGCTGGCCTCAAACTCAGAGATCTGCCTGCCTTTGCCTCTGAGTGCTGGGATTAAAGATGTTAGCCACCAAGGCCCGGTCCTTCCATGTTCTTGTTTTGTTTTCTGCCCTCACCCTTATGAGGAATAGTCTCATGATCATGCTAATATCATTTCTAAGTAGTAGCTCAGCCAGCAAGGCTGAGCTGCCACTCAGGCCAAGGTATCCTCAGCTGCACAGATGGGTCCAGAAAGCCTCCATTTAACTAAACAAACAAAAATTTTCATCTAAAATCCCAACACTTGGGAAGCTGTGGCAGGGGAATCTTTGTGAGTTTGAGGCCAGCCTTGGTTACAGCGTATCCAGACCCATTATCACAAAGAAACGTATGGTACTCCCCATATAAGGTATGTGTTTGAGTTTTCTGGAAAAAATTCTCATTCTGAGGGGGAGGCAGGGCATGCTAACTTGGTCCATGTTGGGGCATATAGGTGTCAGTTTGAGAGCAAGGTTGGAAAGTTTTCATTAAAAAAAAAAAATCAAAAAACCCAACTCAATACCCTGTGAATTTTATGAAATCTCATACCAAGGAAGTAAAAGGACAGCAGGTCGCGTCCTCTGGGAAGGACTTGGCTCTGGTAGCTAACAGTTGCTCTCAAAGGCGGCAGCACCGCCCTGTTTCCAGAATTAGCTTCTACATGCTAGCCTGGGTCTCGGTGAGCATCTGTAGCAGTCAGAGAGACGCAAGATGAGCAAGTTATATTAAAAGTTAAATGTCCTGTGCTGAGGCTTGCAACCGACGCAGCTGGACTGCTTGGGGGCGGGGGACAACACCGACTCTCTGGAACCGCTCAGAAGTGTGTGTGTGGGGGGGGGGGGGCGCGACCAGGGTAACCAGGGTGTGGACTGGCCCGGAAGGCACGCAGTGGGTTGGGCTGGAGGCGGGCCTTCGCGCGCGGCTGGCCAATCAAACACGCAGCCCTGGGTATTTTAAAAACTCAAATCAGTCATCCACGCAATTAGAAATCAAACGATGATAAAATGGGGGCCAGTTAGGTGACTTAGCGACTGAAAGTGTTTGATTCCAAGCCTGACCTGAGTTTGAGCCTGAAGACACTCTTGATGGAAAGAAAAAAACCCACTTCCAGAAGTTGTCCCCTGATGCCACACACCCATGCATGTAAATACACACACACACCACCACCACCACCACCACCACCACCACCCCAAATAAATTTAAAAAGAAGCTTTAAAAAATGTACAGATTTGGGCTGGAGAGATGACTCAGCAGTTAGGAGCACTGTGTGTTCTTCCTAAAGGTCCTGAGTTCAGTTCCCAGAAACCACATGGCTCACAACCATCTGTAATGAGATCTGGTGCCCTCTTCTGGCCTTCAGGCATACATGCAGGCAGAGTACTGAGAATACTGTATACATAATAAATATTTTTTTTTATTATGTATACAATATTCTGTCTGTGTGTATGTCTGCAGGCCAGAAGAGGGCACCAGATCTCATTACAGATGGTTGTGAGCCACCATGTGGTTGCTGGGAATTGAACTCAGGACCTTTGGAAGAGCAGGCAATGCTCTTAACCGCTGAGCCATCTCTCCAGCCCCCTAAATAAATAAATCTTAAAAAAGATTTCTTTTAAAAAAAATGTACAGATTTTTAGGCCGGGCGGTGGTAGCCTATGCCTTCAATCCCAGCACTAGGGAGGCAGAGTCAGGTGAGTCCGAGAAACCCCTGTCTCAAAAAAAAAACTAAAAAAAAAGTACAGATTTTTAAAGTAAAAAATAATAAAAAATGAAATTAATGGGATTATATGTGTTAAACCAACAAGTTTTGGGGTATTTTTAATACAATGTCATATTATAGTAGCCCAGGCTAGCTCAGAACTTGAGTGTATAAATTCTAGCAGGAACACACAGTCTATGGTGCTTTGTTCTGTGCAGCTCACACACTTGGGTCTTCATCCATTGTCCCCCAGGATGGGCGTGGGTGAAGACAGCTCTGGTTGTTCTTGGAAGCAATGGTGGGCAGAGTGGCTGAATTTGGCCACCAGAGTAGGTCTCTTCTGTCTCAGACCTGAGTCTCAGCTCCCTCATCTGTGGAAATGATGACCGTCATCTGAATCCCAATGTCACATGTCACAAGCTGGAGGTGGGGCCTGGGGGTCCACAAATAAGGGGGCTGGAGCAGGGGAGCAGGGCTCACAAAGCTAAAGGGACTAGCTGTGGGACACAATACAGCGGACGGACCAGGCAGAAAAGCCCTGCGGAAATGCCAGCTTGCTTCTCCACGCCCTGAGAGTCCATGGGGATTCACCCATAAGGCTGTATGTGCACGGACGGGATGGACTCAGGTCCACCTCCGGCATATGTGGCAGGTGGAGGGACACTCAAGCTCCCTGACCACACAACCGTCTTTCTGCTATATTCCCTTTATGTGAATGCATGGCTGTGGAAATTAAGCAGGTCCACATCCAAGTCAGAGTATCTGAGTTAGCTGTGGCTATGTAACATATGAGCCCATTACAGAGTACCTAAGTTAGCTGTAACTATGTAACAAGTGAGCCCATTACAGAGTATCTGAGTTAGCTGTGACTATGTAACAAATGAGCCCGGCTTTCCCCTGGCAGTGCCTTTGCGGACTATCACTATCTCCCCTCCCTGTGTTGATAGCAGAAAGTAACTGGCAAAACCCCCCACTGGGTCTAGGTGGCAGGAACACAAGCCTGCCGCCATCTCGGCCCTTGTGTGTTACAACCCATGGCTTCTCTACCGTTCAACATGGTCACTTCAGATGAAGTCCATCCTGCTCCACACTACCCTTGCACACCCCTGGTCGTGGCACAGGACTTGTGAGGTACTCACGTGCTCTTTCCTGGTCCTCTGCTGGAGAACGGGTTCTGTCGCTGGCACCAAGGATTTTGTTCAACTCTAGAATTAAGGGATAACCCTGGATCCATCTGTGGAAGGCAGCTTTAGCCTTCCCATCCTCTTTCTATGCTATAAGCAATGCAGACATGGCTAATCAACAGCTGCTCTCCACCTAGCCAGGAGCCCCTCCCAACTGCTGCTCTGTGCAGACATCACAGAGCAATGGCAGGTGGAACTCTCCTCATCCAGGTCCCCATTTCTAGACTTAGTTGGTTTTTTTTTGTTGTTGTTGTTGTTGTTTTTGTTTTTCGAGACAGGGTTTCTCTGTGCTTTTGGAGCCTGTCCTGGAACTAGCTCTTGTAGACTAGGCTGGTCTCGAACTCACAGAGATCCGCCTGCCTCTGCCTCCCGAGTGCTGCGCCACCACCGCCCAGCTAGAAAACCTTCTACTCTTGGAAGTAGACGGCTCAGTGGTTGAAAGCTTTTCCAGGGGATCTGGGTTCAGTTCCCAGCACCCACATGGCAGCTCACACCATCTGTGACTCCAGCTCCACGGGATCTGACACCCTCACAGATAGACATGCAGGCAAAACACCACTGCACATAAAATAAATAAATCATTAAAAAATATTCCACTTTCCTAGGCATGTAGACTCAGGCACTCAGGATGCTGAGGCAGGAGGGTTGCTTGGATGGCAGACCTACATCACTGCCTCTGCTCCATTTTCTTAGTTGGCCACACATCAAGGACACAGTCTCAGTCTGTTCCCTGGTTCCCTGTGATGCCATCATCTCTGGGTTCCAGCCACTTGTCTCACCTTCTGGGTCCCTCTTCCCTCTGCCATCTTTGGAGACTTTATGAGCTTCTGAGAGCTCCCGAGTGGACCCCAGACCAACCCTCTAGTACCAGGGACAACTGTCCCTCTCTCATCAGTCCCGAGAACTCCAATATCCCTGAGCATCTCACTCCGGTGCCCCTTTCAAGGAGGCCCACCCAGTCCTGTGCTAGCGTCCGCAGGGGCTGAGTCACAGCCGGGAGACTCACCTCTGTCAACTCTCTGCAGAAGGAGGCCCTGGATGACGTCCCTGCAGACACCCTCAGTGGTCAGAGCCTGGGAGCCCACGGCCAAGATGTCCCCATCCACCTCAGGCTGTTCCTAGGACCACAGACAGGAGCTTGGCTGGATGCAGGACCCACATGCCGTAACGTGTGTCCCAGTGTCAGAAATGGACTACGTCCCACACAGGCTTCCTACCTCCCAAGTGTCTTAGCTGGGACCTAGCCACCGTTGCTTCCTCTGAAGGGTCCTGCTAGCATCTACTCACAGCCATTCTTTGGGTCCTCCCCACCCACACCCTTCTGCCTGCTTCTTCCCTCACCATCACCCTGGATGACTCCTCTCTGCAGGCCAGAAGAGGGCGCCAGACCTCTTTACAGATGGTTGTGAGCCATCATGTGGTTGTGGGAATTGAACTCCTGACCTCTGGAAAAACAGCCAGTACTCTCAACCTCTGAGCCATCTCTCCAGCCCCCTCCTCTCTGGTCCTTAACACACAAGGCCCAGTCCAACCTCAAGACCTTAGCACAGGAAGTTCTCCCTATAAACCTCGACCCATGGAGCCCACACCCGCTCTGCACCACCAGGATCAAACTCCGGGAGTGTGTGGTCAGCAAAAATTAGGGATGAACCAAGATGCAAGGGGCTTTGTCAAGGCCAGAAGTGCCTCCGTACACCCAGCCTGGGGAGCAGAGGTGGGATCTCCAACCTCCAGTGGCTTCAGGCAAGAGTGAGCACTCTGTCCCCTCCAGATGGAGAGCTCAGGTGTCCACTCACCGAGTTATAGCTCACCCCAAGCTGGCTCCACACAAAGGGCCAGAAGATTCCCAGCAGCCAGTCCCGGGTGAACCTCCACCGACTGGTCTCACTGTCCGAGGTGAGCTTCTGCAGAGAACACAATCAGCCTGTGCAGCAGCCTGCAGTACTCTAGGCCACGGCCCCCACCCACCCACTCACCTCACCTTCAGCACAAGGCCCCTGACTTTCTCCAACTGCTCAGCTGCCTGGTCGCAGTCCAGAGTTGACGTCAGACACTTGTCGGCCAGCTGCAGGAAGGTGGTGACTGCAGCTGCCATGAGCTGTGAAGGAGGAGCCCGGATGATCCCATACCCAGGACCTCTGCTCTGGCTCAGGTGTCTAATGCCCAACATTTCCCCAGCAGCCTGGACCAGGTGCTGTCCCTTGGGCTCTAGCCTCAGGATCTCCAGCCTTCCTGGGGCGCACTCTGGGGAGCACTCTTGTGCAGTGTGCCAGGCGCCAACGGATTAGCCACAGGCTGTTGTTCCTCCTATGCCCATGTCCACAGCAGGACAGCAGGGCCCTATCACTGCCTTCTGAAACATGCTGTAGCATAATCCTTTTGGACACTGTGAAGATTTGTCACTTGAGTTGGTTTATAAAAAACTGATTGGCCTATAACTAGGCAGTATTTTGGGGGCAGAGAGAAGGCTGGGAAGAAGGGCAGAGTCTGAGGGCCGTGAGGAGACACAGAGAAAAGAAAGATGAGCATGCCATGTTGAAAGAAGGTAGCACTACAGGGCAGAGAATAGGTAAGCAATATGGATTAATTAATTAATTAATTTTGGTTTTTCGAGACAGGGTTTCTCTGCAGCTTTGAAACCTGTCCTGGAACTCACTCTGTAGACCAGGCCTCGAACTCACAGAGATCCACCTGTCTCTGCCTCCTGAGTGCTGGGGTTAAAGGTGTGCACCAGCACTGCCTGGCCATGATTAATTTAAAATGTAAGAGTTAGCTAGTAACAAGCCTGAGCTATTGGTCAAGCATTTATAATTAATAAGAAGTCTCTGAGTGGTTAGTAAGGACACAGGGAAACTCTGTCTACAAAAACTCGTCTTTCTTTCTGTTTTAGATAGGGCCTAGCATAACCTACACTGGTCTCAAACTCATTGTGAAGCTGCGGACGACCCCGGCATCCTGATCCTCCTGCTTCCCCCGCCCAAGTGCTGGGCCAGGTGGGCACCATCACACCTTCATCTGCATCAGGGCTTCCAGCCTCCTCCACTTGTCTTTATAGATAGAACTCCTAACAGCAGAGAGGGTTTTCTAGCTCCTGCCTTTGCTCCCACACCTGCTGAGGTTCCCTATTGCCCACTACAGACTCACATTCGCTCCAGGCTCTGCCTGTCTACCAGCGCGGCCCATTCCTTCCTCATAAATGCACTCTCCCTCTCCTAGGGATACCCAACATGGACTTCCCATTCTCTCTCCTCACCTGTTGTGCAAGATCTTGGGCCCCAAACACCAGGCTCTGCATCCCCAGGAAGCCAAATGGTTCTGCCAGCTGGGCCAGATGGCTTCGGTTCCTCTCTGCCTCCCGATAACAGGCTTGCATCAGCTCTGGGTCCCAAGGTATCTCCCCAAATTCATAAACCTACGTACATATGAATACCAGTCAGATGAGAAAACATCATTGGTTTACGATACTGACAGCTCAAGGTGGGCGTGTCCCTGTCGCTCACATGCTAACCTCCCTGCGCAGCCGCGTGCCAGAAGGGTTCTTGCGCAGGTGGTGAGACAGCCGGTCCATGCCCCGGATGAGGAGAGTCCGAACGGCTTGGAGCGTGGCTTCCACAAGGCTCAGCAGCGCATGGATAATCTGGTGCAGTTGCGGGTCCACCATGCGGCACAGGCAAGCCTCCAGGGGGTCCCGGATCTCCGCTGAGGGGATATGTGGACCAGGAGTTTTCTCCACCAGGCACTCAGTAGATGCAGGAGGAGCAGGGACCTCAGCCTGGACAGCTGGGTACCCATTTTACAGCTGAGGACATTGAAACTAGGAGCAGTGAGACCTGGCCCAAAGGCACAGGCTGAGGAAGCTCAGTGTGTTTCAAAGGAGACCCCGCAAGGCCACTGCTGAGACCCCGCAAGGCCACTGCCACCTCGTGTCTCCCTACCTAGCCCACAATTTAATAGGCCGGGGTCTCCCCAGGCTCTAGGCTTCGTCTTCTCATCCACTGCCTTCTGGCTAGAATCCAGCGTCAGACTCTAATCCTCAACAGCTGCTTCCCTTTCCCAAGTCTATTCCTCAGGGCCCGTCCCACCCCTATTAGGCCCCGCCTTCCGCCGGCAAGACCCCGCCCCTTCTAGCAAATTGCCATCCAACCTGCTAGCTCCACCGATTCAGCTCCATACGACCTACCCCCACTATTACTAGCAGGCCCAACTCCAGAAGCTCCACACCCGCTCCCGCAGCCCCCGCCCCTACATTTCCTGACCCCGCCCTTCGTCCTCCTACTCCATCCCTTCCAAGCCCCGTGGCCCCGCCCTAGCTCTCCAGGATCCACTCTCACTCCTAGCCTCTCGCCCAACACCACCAACCATGCGGCCTCCCCCACCTCTCACCCGGCCCATTACCCAGCCCGCCCCCCACCTTCTAGTCTCCGAGCCCTTTGCGCTCGCTGCTGCAGGATCTGCTCGAGTTCTGCTCGCACCGTCCTCTCCAGCTTCGCTAGCAGCGAATCCTTTTCCGGCTGGAAGGCACGCAGCCCTGCAGATACCCTGGCCAGGACGGCCGCGTGCACAGCGTCGAGGAACTGCAGCGTCGAGGGCGGTGTGGGCGAGCACGTGAGACTTGAAAGCCGCCCTTCCCTCCCTTTTCTCCCCCTTTGCCCCCCTCGCCACGCCCACTCCGCACCTCCGAGCATGCCCGGGCCCGGGCGCGTCCCGTACTGCGCAGGCTCCGTAGCGTCTGTGCGCGTAGAGCGGGTAACAACTCCCGCATCAGCTCGGCGCTCAGCACCTGTAGGGGAAGCATGGGGGTGTAGTGTGCGACGGGTGGTGGAACCCACCCGGGCCTGAGGGACACCGCTCACCTCCGCATCAGAGCCCAGTGTTGCGTCGTCACCACCGGCAAAGCCCCGACGTTGTCGATAGAGCTGCACGGTGTCCAGGAAGGCACAGGCTGCGGGCGCCCGGCTGCGCTGCAGGACTGAGGATGCCTTTAGCCGGGCACTGTGCTCCAACCCTCCCCAGGGAACCCCGCACCTACACCCATCGTCCTCTCGCGCCCCACCTGCCCCCTGGAACGCACCGGTGGCTCTCAGCCGGATGGCACCCTGCAGGCCGAGCCTCCAGGCTCGCTGCACCCCCCTCGTGTGTGCACAGAAGCAGAGGTGGGCCCGGAACGGGTGCACGAGGAAGAGCGGGAAGTTCACTGGCTCCTCCAGCACCCTCAGCGGTTCCTCCTGGGCGAGGTCTCCTGAAAGCAAACAGCAGCCTGAAAGAACTGGTGTGACTTCGGGGCCAACTGGGGCTTTAGAGCAAAAGCTGTCTCAAAGATTAAACACAGCAGAAGCCCTAGTGCTACATGCGCCCGGCAAGATGAACTCTATCATTGTGGAACAGGTGAACGGGAACAGAGTAGGAGAAACTCGAAACCCAGGACCCCATCTGACGGTCTGTGCACCATGCCCCAAGCCTGCACACTGCTTCCTACTATGTCTGTCTCCTTGCATGTTTACTGACACTGGGTTTTATGGTTTTTATATTTAACCATCTGTATGTGTTTATGTGTGTGTAGGTGCTTGAGGTCAGAGGCGCCAGATGCCCTGGAGCTGGAGTTCCAGGCAGTTGTGAACAGCCTGAGTGGGTGCTGGGAATCTAACTCTGATTCACTGAGCCATCTTTCCAGCCCAGTTTTTATTGTATTGCTTTTTTACTTTTTTAAAAATTTTGTTTTTGTTTGTTTGTTTTCCAAGACAAGGTTTCTGTAAAACAGCCCTGGCTGTCCTGAAACATATTCTATAGAGCAGGCTGGCCCTGAACTCAGAGCTCTTCCATCCTCTGCCTCCCGAGTGCTGGGAGTAAAGGCGAGCGCCACCAGCGTTACTTTTGTTGTTCCTTAGACTCTTAGCTATTCGGGTTTTGTTCCATTGGCTTTACTGGTGTCCTCCCAGGGACAGTGGGTGGCACTTTTCCTTCGCAGAGCAAGAGTTCTTGCTCAAGGATCAACAATTCATTCACCAAGGGACAACTGTAACATCTGTAGACACTGCGAGTCACACTGTGGGCAGGAAGTTGCTTCTGTTACTAGACAGAGGAGAACCAAGTCAACTTCACCAAGTGCACAGGGGGTGGGATGGCCACAGGACGCGGAGGAAGGAAAACTAAGGGAACCCAGGAATCCTTACCAGAGGAGCTTGGGCAGAGGTCATCCAAAAGGCACAGGTATTCACGTTGGGAAGTGAGCAGTGTGTACCCTGTCAGGGCTGTGGAGCCCAGGGTACGGCCCCCAGACTCATACTCCTGTGACCAAAGACATGAGACCACACTGAGGTTCCCCAGTAGAGGCAAGTCGGCAAACTCCCAAAGCACTCCCTACCCCTCTGGGCAAAGAGCAACTCAGGATCTTAGCGTGTTACTGACCAGCGCTCTGCCACTGAGCCACGCCCCCAGCCCTCACTGGGGATTCTAGGCAGGGGCTCCAACCCTGAGCCACGCCCCCATTCCCTCATTGGGAGATCCTAGGCAGAGGCTCCACCCCTGAGCCACGCTGCCAGTCCCTAGGCTATCCTAGGTTGCAGTTCTGGTCATCTCACCTCCTTTCGGCTAAACCATTCCAGGCGTCCATCCCCACGCAGGACACAGAAGGTGGGTTGCCATTGTGGCGGGTGGCCCCACAGCAGGGTCAAGGGTCCTTGGTGCTCCCGGACCCTAGGCAGCTTCTGCAAAGGGATGCCAGCTGTCGTTGGCTCTAGAGCAGGATTTAGGGTTCCCTGAACTGTGCCCAAGTTTCAGTTCCCACCAGAAGCAGGGCACTCAGCTTCTTCTTCTTCTTTTTTTTTTTTTTTAAAAAACAACATTTAATTGGTTAACTGGGACAAGATCTGACTCTGGTACCCTAGGAAAACCACCAACTGCCTGGTCCCAGTGACCCTCCCTCCTCAGTTCCCCCAAGTAGTCAGTCTATACGCAGCCTGGGCTACAGAGACCCAAAGGAAAACTTGTCACGTAGGTTTGGTCACACATACCCACCACCCTCCAAGGCTTTAGGCAGCAGCTGCCATCAGAACCTGTCAGCCCAGCACCAGAAGGCTGAGGCAGGAAGGTCAGGAGTTCAAGGTCAGCCTCAGCCACACTGCAAATTAGAGACTCTGTCTCAAATAAACAGAAACGGAACTGTAGCAGGTACGAGGATGCCCTGCATGGGACAGGGAGAGTCCCAAGCTGTGACCTCTGCCCACAGAGCCTCCCCACAGCAGGGAGGGAAGGGAGCGGCCGGGGACTGTGCCATGTGGCCTACAGGGGCTTGCTCTACCTCTGTGGGTCCTGACTATGCCAGGGTAGGGGACAGAAGGAGGCCATGGGGGGACTCTCAGTGGATACAGTTCCAGGCTGTCTGATCTCACAATCCCTGAAGTGCCAAGAGCAGGGTCAGAGGGACAAAGGGATCCTATCAAGGAGTGTCTCCCTGGTGCCGTGCTTGCAATAGCAGGGCAGGCGCACGCAGAATCAGCCCTGCCCCCTGGCTTCTTCCCAGGCTTGCCAACCTCAGGGCCTCTCTGCACATGTGACCCCTGCAGGGAACACCCTTCTCCAGGCCTCCTCCGCCTGCCTCCACCTCCCCAGCTCCATGTCCCCAGTCTCATGTCACCGAACTCAGAGAGGGACACAACCACAGCTGGTGCCTGGCAGGGAGCCCCATCCTCAGTGACACTCACTTTGGTGTGGGAAAGCTGGCATCCGGCTGGCTCCTGGGGTTCCAGTTCTCTGGAGATCTGCCTCAGCATGGCTACCGCCAGCTGCCTGCGGTAACAGGGCAGGAAGGCCCTTAGCAGGCCGTCCACCTGACCTGTGGGGGAGAAGGGACCAACACTGTGGCCAGGGGACCAGCCTGTCATCTCAGGCCAAGCTGGCCAACCCTGGCACAGGCGAGACCCTGCCTCAATGAATGAGGTGGGAGGCAGCCTAAGAGGACAACACATACACACATACATACACATACACACACGTACACACACATACACACACACACACAAAGTATCTCCATCCAAGGATATTGTGCCTCGGAGAATGAGGTCCAGAGAGGGGGATTCACTTGCCCAACAGCACACAGCAAATGCAGGTAGCAGTGAGTGCTGGGACTTTGCATGCGCTGTTCCCCTTCCCCAGTGCTATTCCCATACTCACAGCCAACTGCACACCCTCTTCCAACCTGGCCTAGCCACCTCCCCTTGGGGGACAGCCACCAAATCCTGTTCGATTGTCCAACCCCACTCTCCAAGGACCAGCAGAGGACAGTACAGGGAGTCTCAGTGCCAGTCCATGCAGCCAGGCCTCCCAGCCATGAGGACCCCTGCCCTCAGTGGGCCCTCGAGTCCCCTAATAAATAAAACATGTTACATCTCACTTTTCATTTTCTTTTCAGACAGGGTCACAGGTAGCCACAGCTGCCCTGGAACTCACTGTTCAGTCCAGGATGGCCTCGAACTCAGAGATCTGTCTCCCGAGTGCTAGGATGACAGGCCTGTGCCACTACACTCAGCTACTCGAGCTTCACTTACATCTGGAATCTTCCAAAGCCAGGCCCACGGGACACAGAGGCAGGTGGATCTCTGAGTTTGAGGCTAAGGTCTACAGAACAACTTCCAGGCCAGCCTGGTCTACAGAGAGAAACCCTGTCATGAAACATTCAACAAAAAAACCTGGACTTTTCCAACCCAAGGCAGGACGGTGACAACAAAACGTTTGGTGCCAGGAGCCATGCCAGTGTGGCCTCCCGCTGCAGCGGGACCCCTCTGCTCACCCCTCAGCTGCTGCTGCTGCCGCTTGTCCAGGGGGCTGGAGGGCCGCACCCCCATCCTGTCACTGTGTGGAGCTATCCTGGGTCCCACTGCTCAGGGTGCTGAGTGCCCCAAGTTCCAGGAGGGTAGTGCCATCGGTACAACCCTCTGCCCCTTCCTGTCTGCACCTGCCTCCTCCTGCCCCTGGGGACAGGCTGGACCAGGACTGAGGGTTTCTGTGGGGGACAATGGGGACCGCCCCAGGGGAAACCAAAGCCCTGGCACAGGTGGCCAGGGTGGGGCGGCACATCTCTGCCATCCCAGCACTCAGAAAGCAGAGGCAGGGGGATCAGGAGTTTAGGTCCTGCAGGCCAGCCTGGGCTACTTGAAGTCCTGTCTACAAAAGAAACAGACAGCTGACGGAACAAATGAACGGCTTGAGGCACGGGCTGTCAATGTGTGGAACACAACCCCCATCTGCCCACGAGGGAAGATGACCCCTTAAGCAATTTCATTTTCTTCCCTTTCCGGAGGCTAGAACGCGGGCACGGCAGACGGAACATTAGCAGTCGCCTTGGAGTATGGGGCAGAACCTATGCCACAGTGTATGGGCACAGCAGAGATGTCCCCTTGAGACAGGGACGGGCAACGGTAATGTCCTGCAGGGCTGCTCACACATGTCACTTTCCTTTCAACGGTCTCAGCTTGTGCCCTTGGCTGTCAGAAGTCCCCAGCAGGGCAGCTTTCTTCCCGGCCTGCCCCACTTCCTCATTGTCACAGCCGAGGAGTCCTCAGGGACCGCACACCAACAGAAATTTCACCTCTGTGGTTTCATGCCAAGTTAGCTCGGGGAGGTTTCAATTCCCGCCTCAGGCCTGGGATGTGTGACCTTCCCGGGGATGCCCCTCAGAACCCCACACTCAGCTAGTCCCCGGGACTGGGAGGGCTCAGGACACATCCATTTCATGCACACGGAGGCTGCTGAAGCTCCAGCCTTTATGCCCACATTTCTGCTTCTTTAAGAGGAGGTAGGGGAGAAACCGTCTAAAGGGGACATCCCAAGAGTCACCTCAGACACTTCTCTCGTTGTTACGTGACCCTGCGGCATCATCAAGGGAGGCTCAAGGCTCTGAGCAGGCCTGCAGGGAGACTGAGGCACTGGCTGGGGTGCCAGGTGAACCCTGGCATGTTCCCTCAGCCTATCTCCCTTCTACCATAGTGGCCACACGGCTGGAACACAAGCAGCCACGAGGTACCTGTGAGCCAGTCCTGCGCTTGGAACTGAAAACGACCCTTTCTTCATTCTGATGTGTGCACTGCGGGGCCAGAAGCCCAGGCTCCACATTTCTTTGAGGCGCCGTGTGCTGTCAGCCGCACCCGAGCTCACTGCCCGGCCCCACCCTCCGCCACCAAAAACCACAGGGACCAGAGTTCCAGAACGCTCCGTTTAATTTTCAGTTGGCTCGCTCCCGCGGCTCCCGGAGGCTTTTCCAGAAAGCCCGGGGCAGAGGCCGGGGGCCAGCCCCAAAGTGCCCACGCGTGTGTGCCCTGCGCTACAGCGTGGAATGCTTCTCGAAGGGCACCGACAGCAATCGCGCGGCCGCCTCGTCCAGGAACCAGCAGAGGGCGCCCGTGCGCGGCTGCACCATGGTGGCCGGCAGCGAGCTGTCTTTGTCCTCCAGGATGCGCTGTGTGAGAGACCCGGGACCCACCTCAGACCCCAGCGCGGACAGAGGGGGCGGACTGGGATCTGTTTGGATGTAGGGACAGGCACCCGCGGGTTCTAAAGCTCCGTGGAACAGGTTTGTTTGCTGTTCTATTAGGAGGAGGCAGGGCTTCATGTAGCCCAGGCGGGCCTTGAACTTGCTGTGTAGCAAGGATGGTCTTCCTCTTTCTGCCTCCCCAGTATGGGGACAACAGGTGGTGCTGGGAACTGAACTCAGGTTGTCTGAGAACTCAAAGTCTGAACTTAAGTTTGGTGGCAAGCCCATTTACCCACTAAGCCGTCTTACCCCCTTATTTTTTTCTTTTTGTGTGTGGGTGCTTTTCCTGCGTGTATATGCACCATGTGAATGCAGGGTGCCCAGAGGCCAGAAGAAGGAATCTGAACCCCTGGACTAGCGCTACAGGTGGTTGTGACCTGCCATGTTGGTGCTGTAAATCGAACCTGGGTCTTCAGGAAGGTCAGCAGGTCCTCACCACTCCACGCGCCACCTTTCCATCCCAGGCTTTATTATTATTATTATTTTAAATGTGTTTGGTGTCCATCTCTATCACCCTGCAGCTCAGGGGAGGTGTCCCTCTCTATCACCCTGTACCTTATTCCCTTGTACAGGGTCCCTCACTGAGCCTGGAGCTAGGCCAGCAGCCATCAAGTCTTAGGCATCCTGTCCCCAAAAGGGGCTAGAGACACAGATGGCCACACCAGCAGTCACTTGGGAGCAGGGCCTGTGATCTCTGCAGACTTCCCTCTCATAGTCCATCCCGTGACCACCCTTCTGACCTCCCGTGACCGCCCTTCTGACCATCTGTGACCGCCATGATCCCCCGTGTTTGCCCTGTGATCCCCCGTGTCCTCCTGTGCCCACCCCTTACCTTCAGCACAGCTGCCTTGCCTTCCCCTGTGGCCACGAAGATGATACTCTGGGCTGCATTCAGCACAGGGAGCGTCAGGGTCACCCTCTGCCGTGGTGGTTTTGGGGAGTCACTGATGGGAGCCACAATCTTCTCTTGCTCCTGGGGGAGGAAGGCCAGTGGGGACAGGTCATGCCTACCCTTGCGCTGTATCTGTGGACGGAACCTGAACCCGCCAACCCCACCCAGGCACCAAGTGTACAGTGTCGGCAGGTCTCCCTTTGATAATCCTTTGGGTTCTTATTCTGTGACCCAGGCTGCCCTCAACCTCACTGTGAGCTTCGTGCCCCTTCCCAAGTGCTGGGATGACAGGCATTTGCCACCATGCCCAAGGGGTCTGAGGCTCAGCAGGTCAGGGCTGGGAGAGGATCCCCATGCTCACCTGTAGGAGGGGATGACCAGGGAAGAGCGAGCATGTGTGGCCGTCAGGGCCCACCCCCAGGATCAGCAGGTCAAACACGGGGACAATGTCTCCTTGGAAGGCCTGAAGGGGAAGATGGTGGTGTGTGCAGAGCTCAGAGGTCACACAGAAGGAAGCTGGAGCCAGGTTTCCATGTCTGGGTTCCTCAGCAAGAGCATCACATTCTCTACAGAGTAAGTGACCACCTGGCACTGGGCAGCTCTGGCATAGTATGAGGGCTGTGGTGTTTTTGAGTTGAGAGTTACCCTCAGGCTGGTCTGACATCTGGCCAGGCTCCTGCCTCAGTCCCCCAAGTGCTGGGTCACAGACACGCTATCACACTCACTATTCTGATCCAGACTGGAGGCTCAATTTCCCTTTCAATGACCAGGAACCTGGGGTCTGAAGATGTGAGACTCCAGCCCGAGTCTCCCTGCAACTGGTCACCCCCTCAGAGCCACAGCTTGTGTCCCCAAGTCTTCTACGGCTTCTCCACCTGTTCTGGGACCCACCTGCCTCAGCTTCCCGGCATAGTCCTCTGCGGCGTCCTCCACGGGCAAGGCAGGATTGACAGTGAGGACCTGGCTGTCTGGGATGGGCAGCTTTGAGAGCAGGTGTGTCTGTGGAAGAGGAAGGGACAGTCAACGAGTGACCCGACAGCAGCATCAGGTGCCTGGCACAGTACTGTCCAGACGGGGGCTTGTCTAAAGCTAGGAACCCTGTGTCACTCACACTGGGCTCTGCTCCACCGCCTGACTGACTCCCCAGGCTGCCTGGGGCTCCCTATCTTAGGGACCAAGCTTGGCTGCATTGAGCATGCAGCTGGCACCCGGTGGGCCCCTGGGAAGACGGTCCTCATTGACTTCTAGGGCCTTGGAGAACTGGGCACCGCCTAGCCTGTGTCTCCATGCCCAGCTTAGTGGAGCAGGTAGAGGCTTGCAGCGAATGGCAAAATGCCAGGGTGCTGGTACCCTAGGCAGATGGGGAGAGTGGCAATGCTGTACCAGCCAGAGTTCAGGACGCTAAGGGCCCTGAATGGGGACGAGATGAGCACAGGCTCCAGGCTGAAGGCCACAGGAAGGTGTGTGAACCAGGAAGGCAGAGCTGGACCAGGCAGCCTCTGGGCAAGACACCCCCATTGTGTCAGGACCACCTACGGAACCCTAACACCAAATCAACAGACTCCATCTGCCTGCTGGTGAAATCCTGTGTCTCTGGGTTGCCTTGGTCAAAGACAGAGGGACCTACTTAGCGATCCTTTCTTACATGGGTAGCATAGGCTGGCCTCCATCCTCCTGCCTCTAGCTCCCAGTGCTGGGAGCACAGGTGTGCACTATTGTGCTTGGTTTATATGACGATCAGATGGAACCCAGGACCCTGTGTATTTAAGGCAATCACTCTACCAACTGAGCCTTGAGCTCAGTACCCACAACCCACCGTCCAATGAAGTTCTTGGGCAGGCACTGTGTTCAAAGTCATGCATTTCAAAACTGAGGCCCTAAATGAGAGACCTGCATTTTCTGGTCTGTTTCCCCACCTTGAAGTGAGTGTGGTGGCCCCTGACTCTAGGTCAATGACAGTGGGCGATCCTCCCCAAGGGGGCAGTGGCAGACACCCAGGGGTGCTCAGAGCTCAGTCTTCCATGCCTCAGTTTCCCTGTGCGTGAATCAGGGCGCTCTGAACCCTATAGGGGGCCAGGTGGCCGTCAGATCCCAGGCTGCTCATGTTAGAGATGAGGAAACTGAGGCCCAACACACCCTGGACACCAGACGCAGGGTGAGCGCACCAACAGCCACGGCCTGCAAGGCCCCATAGCCGGGACGCAGCCCTCTGGAAGATGCGGGCTGGCGGGGACCCTTTAGGCCAGGCTTGGGTGAACGTCACTGCATATTCCGCAAGACCCAGGGCGACCCGTAGCCCGCGCGTAGGCGTTGAAGCAGCTCCTGGGCATTTCCTGGGCAGGCGGAGCCGGCTAGACGTGGCCCGCGGCGGCCCCCGTAGTCCGCACTTCCTCAGCGGACGGGGCCGGCTCCGCGTGGCCCGC